TGTAAATATATAACACTTATCAACAAGTAGAAAGGAAATGAACTTAATTATAAAGGGTAGCAACACTTTAGAATCCTTAACTCCTTCTATGTTGAACCTATAACACCCTTTGCAAACTATGTCACAATGTACACATGAGTTATTTCAAAAGGCAAAGGCTGAGTTGAATGAACAAGTTGAGAGAAGCATGCAGTACACAGAAAAGAAAGGGGAAAAAGGCCTATCAGACAAAAGCAAAAGTTTGAGACATAAGCTTAGCCATTTCACAACAGGTAATCATAGCTATTTTTTCCCATGAATAGTAGTTGGCCATTTCATTGTAAAGTTTATTTGGATATATGCAATTAGTTATATATGCTTAATTTAAGTGCTTGAAAATTTGGATAGAGGTTTTTCTCCAAAATTTAATACTGACTTATTTTCTATATCAACTCTTAAGTTCCAAATGAAGAGTGCTTTTAAAGTATCGGTGGAAGTAAAAATGCCAGACTCTAAGCAAAGGTGAGGGAAATCCTATGGACAATGTATGTACCGTAACACAACCTGGAAAAAAATAAAGAATCTCTGGCTTTGCCTACTTACGTTCTCAGAAACCAATTTCTTCATCTTTAAAACAGGCATAATTATGGGAGTTTTCTGGAGATTAAAGAAGAAACCATATGTAACACATTAAACCTAGTGGTTGGTATGTACTTAGTGATCAAAAATTTTGATTCCTTTTTCCTTACTCATTGCACCATATCTTACAGATAGAGAGGAAGGCCAGCTAACAAAGTTAGTATCTCAACAGGAATACGTAGATTTAAACTTTGTAAGAAGCCAATTTAGAATAGCAAGTGAAGTTAAAGTATACTAAATGCAAAATGCTTTCATCTTCCGTAGAAAAACATAAAAAGTAAACTAGACACTTTTGTCTAGAGAATTGCACTAGAACCAAACTGCTTTGGCCATATAACACGCATGATACAATAGATGTACATGTAATCTCGATAAGTTCATTTGTTCTGAAAGTTTCAAATGGGGTTGCCAGTAATCAGTAGGAAAATATGTCTTGGACAAACCCCTGAGAATTGTTCAGTGTCTCCTGGACACCAGATTCTGTCCTATAGACTGAACATTTAACAAGTCAAGGATATAGTAAACATTTATTTACCCCCACAGCAAAAAGAATGGGGTCAATGTGTATTTCTGCAAAATAGAGCAGAAATGTAAATTTCTACCATGGGCAAAAACAATTTTGTGACCTAATAATATGTTTGCAGATTTGATGGGTGTCCTCAGAGGGATGTCAAAAGAACCTTGTTTATTACCTTCCAAATTACCAAGTTGTGTGGAAGGAAGGAGAAAGAGAGACAAAGTTTGATGGTGATGTTCTTTGCCTTCCTAAATTTCTCCTTCCTTTGAAGTTTCTGCTGTAACATATGAAAGGCTCAGAATCCCAGCTTGACTCCCTAGGGCTGAACACTATAAATAATGTCCTTAAAACACTTGTCTATGTTTCAGTTTCCAGAAGTTTTAAAATAGGGCATATAACCAGTCTACATCCAGAAGAAATCAACTTCACTGTTAGAACTTGAGTTCTCATATCATAAAACCATGGGCTTCATTCAATATCGGGCTTAAAAGTATCCACCAAACAGCTGGATGTTAGAGTAGCCCATTCTGAGAAAATAATTTCCTCAAAATGAGGAAAGTAACCAAAAGGTCACTCTAATCCTCATAAGGACCCCACTATAACTCACTCCCCTTCCCCCACCTGCCAAGAATTATCTGTCAGTAGGCCACAGAGGGAGACTTTTTGCAATGAATGGGAAGGATGAAGGACATAGTAAAAGGGAACAGTAGTTATTCTGAATCAACAGTTAGACTCTTCTCATTTGTTATGATGATTAATTGCATTTCTGCTGAAGTTACTAAGATAATCAATCTTAGGTCCAGTTGTTTGGAGGAGTGCAAGAACAACAACTAGTTGGTGAGGTAATAGCTGCACCAAGGGCACAGACGATAGGTCATTTATCTTTCAAAATATACAATACCAATCTGTATGCAAATAAATATGAAATGGCCAAGTAACATATTTATCTGACTTGTTAACTCCAAGTTATAATAAGCTCAATAGGAAAACACAAGCAACTAAGACATCTGACTCAACTCGTAAGTATTTGACCAGTCTTGAAGATCTGATTGTCTTGGGTCAGTATACTATGATCAATGGTTTGCTAAGACCAAATATTTAAAGTACTTCTAAATATACGTACATAATTCATTAATCTTCAAAAACATATAAATATTCATAATCTCATTTCTTATGCTTTAAAAAATACTACTATCTTAAAATATTTAGGTTGTTAAGTGTTCTTAATTATAAGCCTGACTTTAAGCCACTTGCTGCCTCCTACCATCACTCACTCCAAAGAAAAACTTAAGAAATGAGAGCAAGGGGACAAGGATAAAGATTGTATGTCCATGGGGACTGTTAGCATATTAATGAACTGTGTTTCTATTTACACTTCCATCACCAGAGCTAATTGTTAGCTATTTTAAGGAAGAGGTTATGTCTTAATTAATAGCATTTGGTAAATGAAAGCTGGTTGCATTTCTTTAGTATGTTCAAATTTCACATTTTACCTAACAGCAGGGATTCTAGTTCATCCTATACTTTTATGTGATAACACCTCTGATCAAGGAAAAAAGTCTGTAAAAGACCCTAAATAATTAGTTTCCAGAACTGAAGTCAACAAAAAGCATAATTAATGAGTAAGTTAATTAATTCTCTGTCTCTAGAGCATTAACATACACGCATATTTTAAATGAAGGAGATCGAAGGGGATAGAAATACCTTTGGTTTTTAATATTTCTAACTCTGATATTTCTAAATACTTCACAAACCCAAGTGTTTAGGGATGACACTTTCATTTTTATGGCATAGTGTCTGTATGTTATATTTAACTCTGCCGCTTCCATCCTCTCTGCCCTGTCTATTCCTTGGGACTATTGGAGCATTGGATTTAATCATATGCTTTGCAGAATGTACAATCCCTTAGTTTCCACTTTGTTTTTCTTTCATCCTTATCATTTCTATGCTTATTACTTTTCCACTTGCATCACTCCCTCCCACCATCTATTTGAACCATATCTCCCACCTCCCTGATTTATGATTCTTCCCCCTTTCTCTCCATTTCTCTCTCTTCTCTGGCAGACGGTTAAACAAAGAAATACACAAACAAACAAAAACTCCACCAAACGGTGGGTGGACACTTTGTGCATAGTCTATCAAACCTGGCCCAAATGTCCTAGTCCCAATCTACTCCTTTTTCACAAGTAACCGCAAAAATCAAGAAAAGTGGAAAGGAAAAGCCAAAACTGCCAAGTAAATATTTTTCAGTTGCCAATTTTAACCCAAATTTTTACCTCTTTTCCAAAGAAATCAGAAACAACAAATGTAGGACCATCAGGGGAAAAAACAAAGTTAGTAAATATAGAAAAAGATTTTGGTTAATATTCCCTTATTTGGAAAAAAAAATATTCCCTTATTTGGTTTTTAATATTTATGTGGGACCATGAAACAACAGCCAAAACAATAACAGCAATAATAGCAGCAATTACCCTTATTAATTACTTTGTAGCAGTTAGTAACACTTCACATTTATTAATTTATTTAATCCTTACAACCTTGCCAGGTAAACATCATAAAGGAATAAACAGAGGCACCAAGAATTAACTCTCCCGGAGTCACAAAGCTGGTACGTGACTAGTAAGTGATGGAACCAGACAGTCTGGCTCTAGAACCTGCCTTCTTAATAACTGTACCAAAATGTCACACACGTGTGTCTATCCCATGCATAGGCCGTGTAGTCAACTGGGTATTTATTTTACAATTTTAAAGAAATGAATTTTTCTGGGGCTAAGAGGTGTAGAAACAAATACCTTCGATATAGAATATTTTTCTCCATTAAATATTCCCACCACCAAACTAAATATAAATTCCTTTTTTCTATGTCATTTATGTTGCAGTGAAGAATGGAAAGAAGAGAGTCATGAGCAAAACAGAAATGCCTAAGTGAGGGCAGAATTAACAGAAGCTACATTTTCCCTATACAAGGCACTGTGTGATTCTCCGGGTCCAGTAGAATCACTTAGCTTCAACCAGAACTCTCCTGGAAACCACTGGCCCACTTGCCACCCAAGAGTTTACTGCCTCACACTTCACTATTGACCCCCACGTCTCCTGCCTTGAAACCACACAAATTCATGCTAGTGGGAGAGATTGAAAGGAGAGGGCTGCCTCCCCCTTCTCAAAATTTCCCTTATAGTATACTCTCCTGTACAAGAATTTTAAGAGTATCCTCTGGAGATAGTGCCAGGGTACTTAATTGTCTAAGTAGGAGGGATGATTCAGACCAGCTAGAAAGACCGAAGAATCTAGAACAAAAGACCACCGGGACTTTGCATGGCCTTCATGTAAAGATATCACTCAGAGCTTCTGCCCAGTGCTTCCAATTGCCTTCTCTGTTTGTTTTGGGGCCAGTGACAATGTCAGGAAAAATAAACTTTCTTTCAGTATGCAAAAGAATAAACTGTAAGAATAGAATACTTTGTCAATCCCCTGCTTTAGAATAATTCTAATATCAAAGTTTTGAAATATTATTTAATCTTTTCCATTTGCTATCTGTCCATAATATTACCCCTTCAGCTTAAAACATGACAACAACTACAACAAATGTAAACCAAGAGATCAAGTCAGGCTTCCTGACAAAGAGAAAAATCTGTTCTGAAAGCTTTTGCTCCTAACCAATTGCCAAATTGGCACTAAGCCAAATGAATTTAGTAAAAAAAAAACAAACAAACAAAAAAAACCCAGTAAACTAAAAGCATAAGACAACCATAAACATGGCACAAAATATCCTCTTTGAAAAATGTCAGTCACATCAAAAATCCAATAGTTTGAAAAAGCATAACTCCTTCTTTTCCCAAAGAAAGAAATAAATGCAAGTACTTACAGTGTCGTGAGACTTGTCCTTGACATCATAGACTGTGAGTTTTATTTTGGTCTCCTCATAGATGGGATACTCAGATGGGAATGTGACACCAGTCAAAAACAGGGGGTCTCTTGTTCCCTGTAACAGCACAAGCAGACAACCTTGATTCCATGAAGCAGCAACTGCAGCTGGCAGCATGCAAGTGACACATGAGAATGCAGAGTGTGTGCCTGAGTCTGTTTTTCTAGGAAATGGTTCAATTAGAAAAGAGATCTGAATTGTCAAATGCTGCTCATGGACAACATGGCCCAGGGCCCCAAAGTACTAATATAGCTGTTGATAGTAAATGGTCCCGCATCATTGTCAGAGCTGCTGGTAGTGAGTCTTGAAAAACAGTTTATGTGCATTAGATGCAGAACCCTTCCTTAGGGTCAGTTGTCAGTTCATTTAAAATACATTTAATAGCTATAACCAGCAATTCATGCAAATAATCTAAGATAGTGACTGATCAAATTAAAAGGAAGCTATTTTCTCATAAAGAACCATTTGGTAATCCTATGCTGTCCATTTATTTCCTTTCTAGAATGATTCAATTGAAAGCCACACTCTGATAATGTCCATTTGTTTTTAGATGCTCAGCTGTGACTTTTTTTCCCCAGACTGACTTGAAAACTAATGAAAGAAACTCTAAATTTGATGGATTTGGGGCTATAAAGTTACTAGCTCAGGATGCAGTGCACAGGATATTTCAATGCCTCAGAATTCATTTTTAGAGAGCTGGCTTCCAACATTAAATTTTATATATCTATATATATAGCCAAATATCATAGGGATGTTTGCTAGACTTCTATAAACCAATTGTCAATGGAAGTTTCTAAAAGCCCAAGTTATTTGTTCATTCACTCATTCATTCTTTTATTCAACAAATACTTTTTGCTAGGCACTGCACCAAACACTTGGGAGCAGGCAGTGAATAAAACAACCCAAAATAGCAAAACTTGTTCAAATATAAAATTTTGAAATTTGCCAAAATAAATCAGTTCTAATAGTTAAGATAATAAATTTTATATGTGTATTTTATCACGATAAAAAGGAAAGCTCAAGTCAATGAAAAAATAAATAAGTAAATAAATTAATTTTGGCAACATTTAAAAAATAAACAGAATTAACGCTTGAATTTTTTTATACAAAATGAATAATTTTGCAATTGTAGTCAAAGTTGTCTTTATATGAGTAACATTATTTTTGTTAATTCAACTATAGCATTATAAAATACCACCATTGGAATATAAAGTTTCCAAAGGGCAGATTCAGGGCTACATGCAGTATCTGGGTCATTCCCATTATAGAAATGATTCCAGTTCAGTCTGAATCATTTATCCCACCACTACATCAAAGCAGGCGGTCAGCACTGAGCAAGCCAGGTCTAGGACAGGCTGCTTAGGTTCTAACAGAGAAACTTCATTCAAAACAGACACAGCTCACAAGTCCAAGAAAAATAAGCAAATCTTAAGGAGTTCAGAGCCTACTTTCTCCAGCCCCAGATGTTTAAGCAAGTATCTGTCATTCACTAAGGCTGTGAAATGTGTGATCAGAACAAAATAATCAAAAGGGAAGCACTTCCTCTTTTGAATCTGATCCAACACAATAACAAGTTTCCTCCTGACACATTTTGAATGTTATATTAGTAACAATAAATGTAAATAGGAAGGCTCGCCTCTGATGAGTAATATTTACACCTTTTGCCTGGAATCATTACAGTTTCTCAAATTAATCATCTACCTTTCCTTGAAAAACATCATATATTGAAAGACACACAAACAGCAGAGAATGTAAAGTTTCCACTGACAGACTGAAGAATACAGGAAAAGCATAAAAAGAGCGAAACCACTTAACATGTTTAAAACTTCTCTGGGTACTTTACAACTTTCTTTTTTTTTCTCACAATAAATATTTACTTCATTTGATTTAAAACCTGTATGGTTTTTTTGTTTGTTTGTTTGTTTTTTTTATCCTCTCTCTATTCTATGCTCTCTTTGGGGATTTAAAGTGGGAACTTTCTATGAGAGAAACATAAGGTCTTTTTATGAAGAAAGCAAGTTCTCCCATTTGTTCATTCTGGTGAGTTACCAATACATGCTTAATAACTTCAGGTATGCAGTCCTTAATGATAGAAGACAGTAAACAGTACATAGTATAACATAGTAATGGACCACGAACTAACTTAGTTCAGCTGTTTGCTCAAATCCAGAGCAAACACGGGAGGGAGGTGGGGGGAAGGAGAGAGGGCAAGTGTGTGTTGTGTGTGTGTGTGTGTGTGTGTGTGTGTGTGTGTGTGTTGTGTGAAAGAGAGAGAGAGAGAGAATAATGCAGGCACGGGGCATGCTCACCTCCACAATTTCGGTGCTGGAGTATCTTGTCAGACTCTGCTCCGAGGGGTGGATTACTGAGATCTGCACCAGTGTATTCAGTTTCCGATCACGGACTGGAGCCACAAGGTCCTTGCATGCTGGCAATGGGAGAGGAAAGAGAAAGAAAAGAAACTAACACCACATCTCGGGGAAAACGTCTGTCCCGGGTTGAAAGTAAACTTAGCTACAGAGCTGAAGGAAATCTCTTGGGACTCGGGCTGGTTTTACAGAGGAAGTCCCTTGGAAGTACCTTACAGAAATAGGAAGTCACGTGCTGCGAAGCTGAATTGAGAGTTCATTTCCACTGACCACATTTGTAGCCCATGCAAGTCTTAACTGCTCTCAGATCCCAGCTCTAACGTGTGACTATGCACACACTGCTCAGGGACTTCAGGGACTTTTATTAGTTATTAAACCCTGGGCTTTAATTCACACTCCTTGAGGAAGTAAGCTGATTTGGGCCATATATGAAAAACGACCCTGTTCTTTAGTGACACCGGTTGGATTCGTTCAAATGTTTGGATGCACACGTGGTCCTTACCTACCTGTCCGCTAGAACTGGCCTCCCACAGTCACGCACGCCAACAAAGGCAGAGAGAGCGGTTACCCTACCCTACCGCAGCAGCACACAAGCAAGGGAGGAGGAAGCAGAGGAGGGATTGAAAAAGCCCAGGCTCTGCAGTCTGTAATTCAAGCCAAGCCTGGGAGAGATGGGTTAATTCTCGCCCAGGGGCCACAAATGTTAAGAACTTTCCCTTGAGACACCAGGCTCATATTACAGACTCTCACCACCATACCATATTTACTTGAATATTTTCTCCTCTCACATATCATTCCCTTAATTTGTGGAAGAAAAATTAAGAAACTTAGTCCTTTTCAGCAAGTGCAACATCTCCTCTCCTCACTGTGTTTCCCCCCCCCCCAGATTTGAAATATTAATTTCACTCCCTTAAGTCAGGTTGCTGAGCTGCAAAGTGCCCTCAGGAGAGGGGGTTCAAGTTCAGTGCCACTGGTGGCTTGCTGCAGGCTGGAGCTATGGGTGGGGGAACTGAGAAGTAGCCCCAGGTCCTGGATTTCACCATAAGGATGTGGAGGGTTCTATGTCATCCCTATTCAACTCCTCTGACCAGAGCAGGAAAGAAGAGACAGCCCTGTGTATTTAAGTTATGTTGTGGCACTGCCGGGTTTGCAGGGCCTTCACTAGGACAGAGGTAATGCGGCTTAAATCTGAAACTGGAGAGCAAAGGAAATTATAGATGCAATTATCAGCTTCCAATCACTTACAGATCATCTCTTTTACAGAAGTACAACAAGATGGAAAAAGCCTGTGCTTTGGAATTAAAGGGGCCTGGTTTTAGTCCAGTTAAAATAGCTAAGCAACACAAAGAAAATTATTTAACTGCTTTACTTCTTCTTGCCAGAACTTGGGATCCTATTACTCTTGTATGGTATTTTGTCATAACGTTTTCTTAGTTTTCTTATTTAAACCACATGCCTCTAGCAATACAGGAGAGCTTAGGAGAATATGTATGGGGGGAAAAAATAATATGTACAGTTTATTTAACCCTTACTATTTCTGAGGCATTCTACTGATTCTCTCTTTATTCCTTAAAATAATGCTTTGAATTATTATTTTGGTTTTACATATTAAGAACCAGTGGTTTAGAAACATTAAATGTTCACATTTACATTACTAGAATTATCTGGTAGCTTGTTTATATCATACCCCACTAGCCTATTTCTTTTCCTGGCATACTGACTTGCTTTCCTGCACAAATGGAACCTCTCGTTGGAAGACCCACTGCCATGATTATTTATTGCTCAACCCAAGAGATCACAGTTTAAAAAGTACTGATGCAAAGTTTCAATAAAATCAACATATCACCGGAAGGAAAGAAAAGGCTAGATTTAGATTTTTACTGTCTCTGGTGGTTATTTTGATCCTTTCCTCCACTTGCCTTATGAAGGTGTTTTATTGCTCATTTTCCTGGTTTTCTGCTCACAGTGAACAGGTCTCTCTCTCCATTTACTGATGTTGACATATACCTGTCTTTGGATTTTAAAGCAGGGGACACTCTGTTTCAAACACATGCATCTTGCCCACTTTTTGCTGTAGCCTTATCTCTATCTTGTGAGCTCATGACACCTTTGCTCAGAATAAGTCACTTCTTCTCTATGTTCTTATCAGACTTGATCGTGGGCTGTGGTATTTCCCAGAAGTGAGCAGCTGCTCTCCACTTCATCAGAGAAACACTTAGACTTGCTCCCCATAAAAACAGAGAAAACTGCTATTAAACTGAAGTGCTCTGTCCAACCCAAACTGCAGATCCCCCAATACTAATGAAGAAAAACATAGTAATAGTGGCATTTTGTATCTCATTATATTCTATATCTAAAAACAATCATAGAACATATATAATAATAGTTATATATATTGGGCTGTTCTTGTTTCTTTTCTTCCTAATAGCCCAGAGCACTCTAGGGCTTATGCAGCAAAAGATCAAGCAAAATTCCTGAGCTGCAGTCCCAGATTTCCTGCTTTCTACAATAGTTCTACAGGATTAAGTCACGGGCTCTCAGACACTCAATTGCCTCCTCTGTCTACCCACTTCTCAGGCTGGAGGTAAGGAAGAAATTAGGCCTTCTTTTAAATAGACTTTTCCATGCAAAAAAAGTTTACTAATATTATAATATTAGTAAATACAAATATTAATATTTATCAATGTTAATGCTGACATTTATCAATACTTGGTATTTCATTATTATGTAAAATTGTTTTCATTGACTCAGTCACATTTAGACACCTCCTTAAAAGCTATCACCAGGTCTAATATTTCATTGTAAATACCATACCAGTACATAAGTCATTACATTTCATAAAGTGAAATCTATACACATCATGGATCTATAAATACTAAAAGTATCCCATTGGAGGGGTGATAGATGATGAATGATAGGATTGCTTCAATAAGATATTACTGATTTGATCAGTATAACATCGAATGTACATGGGAATTATTCAGAGAATCCTGAAAAATCTGTTTTCAGAAATCAAAAAATGTTTTATAAGTCTTCCAGCCATACTCACCACTGCTCATGATCTAAATGAAATTCTACTCCAGGAATAGCCTGCATAAATGGCCTTCCTCAACTCCTAAGACTAAAAGAACACAATGTTTTGGGATTTTGCAACTGTTTCATTTTTGTTCATTTAAGAATGTGACCTGCTTGAATCAAATGGGTAGTAAAAAACCCAAAATATAAATGCTGTTCTGCAATCATTAATTCATCAATAGATTTTTGCTTTTATTTCTGCTTTTTTACTGGCTTTGTTTTGGGTTGAGCTATTTAAAAGTATTCCCAGAACTCAGAAGAGTTTAAATACAGACAATGTCTGTAGGTTGGGCTTCAAATGTGCTTGTGTCCACTGAACTGACTACTTTTTACTGAAAAGATGATAAACAATAATATAAAAACCATGGATAAAGCCGGGTTGCTCTTCTCTGTAATCCCAGTAATTTGGGAGAGTGAGGCAGAAGAATCATTTGAGGCCAGGATTTTGAGGCTACAGTGAGCTATGGTCACGCCACTAAAAAGTCATGGGTAATTTATAAAACATAATAATAATAATTTGAACCATTTCTTTAGAAAATAAAAGAGTCATGAGTGACTGTTTTTCTGGCTAACCTTACTATAGTGACCAGCAATGTGAGCATTGACTTTCTTCTACGAGCGATTGTAACTGAGATGCCTGCAGGCTTCCCCCACTCAGATATGTGCAGAAGGCAAGCGGCTTTCGCTCCAATAGAAGGGAGTCCTCAGAGGAAGTGCAATTATAAAAATAAATGGAGCCTCTATATCTCCAGGGAGGGCTAGCTATTGAGCAAAGAGGGGACCTCTGTCCAAATTCATTGCCTGAAGAAATGAAGGCCCACTGTGTCCCGCTTTTAGGATTTGTTCAAAGCCTGAGATCCCTGCTACGCAGACTAACACTAAAAGAGCCACACAAAATACATTTGTTGCTAGATTTGGCCACAAGTTTTGCTGAGGGCTGGAAGTTGCCAACCTCTGGTCTCTATGCCTACAGCTATCATCTGGACTCTAGGAAGAAGGCACAGATTATCTTCTGCTGCAGTAGCCAGTCTAACAGTACCGAAGCTAAAGGGCAGTGCTCTTTAGGGTTTTTGTTGAGCCAAAGATGCTGTCTACCTCAAAATACAGATTTTTTTTTAAAATAAAATATCTGTTTTCGTTTCATTTAGCCATCATTTCTACATCATGTCAAGGCTATTGAGTCCATAGAGCCTTTCCATCATTCCAGCCGGCTTTGGCTGGAAGCCTAAAAATGTCTCCTGACTCATCTCAGAAAGCTCAGTCTCAGAAATAATCAATTTGAAGTAGAACACAACTGTTCATTCAGGTGCTTTTGAATTCCGCAGCACTGCCTGAATTCAAGCAGTTTTAAAACCTGCCTTGGCTTGTATATGGAGTGCGTAAATAAGCAGGCTCCTGCCACAGGCTTTCCCGGGAGCAGGGCAGAAGCCATTGGGGAGCTGCAGGTTCATGGTCACCCCAGCGGCTATCTCTCCCCATAAGAACTTTTTCTTCTGTGAAATCAGCTCATTTTTCTTGGCTCGCCCCATTTCATCTCTGTTCTTGCCATTCAGTGTTAGTGGCATCTAACAAGGTTTATTTTTCTTCCTCCAGAATAAAGCAGTGGCCACAGGTGAATCTGTGTGTGTGTGTGTGGGGGGGGGGTGTGTTATGACAAGAATTTCTACATCTCTACAATTCTATACTCAAAATTAGCCAAAGGAGATTTAGGCTTAGAGGAGAAAACACACAGCATAGCATATAGAGGATAAAGGAATGTTTTCTTGACTCAAAACTGTACCTGATACCTGGTTCTAGCCTAAAGAGTTATGTAACTCTGGATGAATTACTTAATCTCTTTGAGTCTGTATGGCATTATCTGTGAAATGAAGGTAAAAAAACAGACTTCAGAGATTTTGTAACAGGGTAGTCACCCCTCCTTCCATAGATACGGAAGGGAAACACTGAGAGTAGAGAATATGTAACACAGGGAATGATCTAAAAA